CAGAAATATAGTCAATGAAAACGTACAGCATATTTATTACGTACTGATTTTTGATCGAATATATTTAATATATATTAACAGCTAGATTCTAGTGGATGAATTGGGTTTGAATATTGTTCGACGTTCATCAATTAATCAAATGCATTGGGACGTTGAACAGTTCTATAAATATGTTCATGGACATTGTCCAATGTTGACCATAATTTTATTGGTACCTAGCTTTAGTAATAAAACATAGCATGCAATATAAGTTATACGTATGCTTATATTGTTATTACATATTGGACATTATTTGATAGAAAGGGGAAATCAACAAAAAAAATATATAAAAAAAAAATCTTGCGAAAAATTAAAGTTATAACGCAAAATTTTACTAATACAACAGGTCTTTAGCTTCTATGTAATAAAAAAATGGTTCTAATTATATTTTGTTATGTTGATTCGCGCAAAACTTTTTTTTTTGAAAAATTGCAGATCCTCCCCCTTTCTATTGAACCAAGCTCATATCTTGGTAATTTAAAAAGAGACGAAAAATTTGCATTTGTTATTGCTTAGAAAAAGTAAAAGAGGCAAAAAATCAAATAAAATTTTAACAGACAAATTTGCGCGCTAAATGGTTTAGAGGATAAGAAATATAAAATTAGTGTAACTAGGAATCAAAAAAAAACTTTCAGCATGCTTATCTTATTTCATTAAAAATAAATAATTTTATTTAACACGCAATAGGTAAGTGAAACAATGCAAAGTGGTTGGTTCTTACAATATCTTTTTATTTGGTACGTCCAAAATGTTTCCTGAGTTCGTTTGAAAATTTAAAAATATTACCATTCCAAAAAAATATAAAGACTATAATAATGCAAAAAAACCTTAACCATAAAACCACAACTAATAAAAACTGTATATAATTTATCTAGAAACATTTGCGATGAACAATAGAAGGACCAGATTCGTCGTATTCTTGTTTACTAATCCACATTTGTTGGAAAGTTGAAAGCTAAAAAGATATCACGAATGTTAGTGCGAAAAGACAGCAGGAAAAAAAAGAAATAGGTAATAGGCTATATACGCACAGAAGCTAAGATAGAACCACCAATCCAGACAGAGTACTTGCGTTCTGGAGGGGCAACAATCTGAGCGAATTCATAAAATGTTAAAAACCAAGATTAAATAAATATGTATATATATTATATATATTATTATGTATATGATAGATTATGAATTAATTACCTTGATTTTCATGCCTAATTTTATAAGTTGAAAAAAACAGAATCACGTTAGTATAGGGAACGAATTAAAACAGAACGGATAGTAAAATAATTCTATATCGTGACGTACTAGAAGGCGCTAATGCTGTAATTTCCTTCTGCATTCTATCTGCAATTCCAGCATACATAGTAGTACCTCTATGACATATAAAAGGCAGATCGATCATTAATCCGATATGTTTAACTCGATAAAAAGAATTTTTAATTAATCTTGAAACAAATTTACCCAGAAAGAACAATATTTCCATAAAGGTCTTTACGAATATCAACGTCACATTTCATAATGGAATTATAAGTAGTTTCATGAATGCCAGCAGCTTCAATACCCAAGAAAGAAGGCTGGAAAAGTGCTTCTGGGGCACGGAAACTACAGGTTAAAAAAATCTACATATAAGTACACAACCGAATAAATGGAAATAAAAATAATCCAGTAATTAAAATAACATACCGTTCATTACCGATAGTAATAACTTGACCATCGGGCAATTCATAAGATTTCTCCAATGCAGATGATTGAGCAGCAGTTTGCATTTCTTGTTCAAAATCCAAAGCAACATAACAGAGTTTCTCTTTAATATCGCGAACAATTTCACGTTCAGCAGTGGTTGTAAATGAATAACCACGTTCCATAAGAATCGTCATAAGGTAGTTAGTCAAATCACGACCCGCCAAATCGAGACGGAGAATAGCATGAGGAAGAGCGTAACCTTCGTAGATTGGTACAGTATGAGTGACACCATCACCAGAGTCAAGAACAATACCAGTAGTACGTCCAGATGCATACAATGATAGAACGGCCTATCCGTGAAATCAGTATTAGTTTAACTAATTAATACGAAATATAAATAAAATGAATAGTGGGTGCATTGATAATAGCCTACTTGAATTGCAACATAAAAAGCAGGCGCATTAAAAGTTTCAAACATGATTTGAGTCATCTTCTCACGATTAGATTTAGGATTGAGCGGAGCTTCAGTCAAGAGCACAGGATGTTCCTCGGGAGCAACACGAAGTTCATTGTAAAATGTATGATGCCAAATTTTTTCCATGTCGTCCCAATTCGTTACGATACCATGCTCAATAGGATATTTAAGAGTAAGGATACCACGTTTAGATTGAGCTTCATCCCCTACGTATGAATCTTTCTGACCCATGCCAACCATTACGCCATGGTGGCGAGGGCGACCTACAATAGAAGGGAAAACCTAAAAATTACGTTCAAATCAGAGTATGTCGCGTAAGAATCATAATTTGGTTTTGATGAAATCGATTGTGCATCCCCCAATAAAATAAGTTACTCACAGCGCGTGGGGCATCATCGCCAGCGAAACCGGCTTTGCACATGCCGGAACCGTTGTCAATAACAAGCTGAAATATGTAAATGAGAAATTTAGCATAAAAAGTATTGTAAAAGAATTTGATAACTTTCAGGAATAAAATGGTCTGTTATATGATATTAAAAATTTGCTAAATAGGGTATCCAATAAGTTAAACCGCCAAAATTAAAATTTTAAAGTGAAAGTCCACACAAAACTACTAAACGCATTGCATTATTGAGCAGAAAGTCTCACTTACAGCGGCGACTTCGTCTTCCATGGCTATTATATATTATGTGAACAGACAGATTGTGCCTATTTTGAATTTAGTACAAGAACAAATGCTTTTTAGTCTATGATTTCATCGACATTATATAATTATATTAGTCTTGAGAGCTTAACATAAAGAGTAACTTCTGTGGTAGCTCAAGTAAACTCAAAATAGAACAAGTAAAATAATGCTTCAATCACTTAGTACCTTGTGTAAAATATGTACAGCAATACGCCGTGATGTTAAAAGCGTTTGCTTAAAAAAAAAAAAAGAAGAAAAAAATTGGGGGATATGTGCACTAGAAGTGTGTACTAGTATGGTTGGATTGGGTAGGACAGGTAGACTACAGACAGACGGGAGGTCTTATATGTATTTCAGTGCTAGCAGCGGCAGCAAAAATTCAAGAAATCGTGCCACAAATAAATTGAGACCATCTGACTAACTTGGATCATTGATTGTGCTTGGGCTGCTTGGCCATTTGGGAATCTTATAACAACGATAAGACTCGGCGGCGCGAAAAATTTCTTGGGTTTCTGATGTATGTACGTACGTACGTACGTACGTACGTATGTACAATATTTCGATTTTATGTCAAATCGTTGCACCGTTCAATGACGAAATTAGAATGCGTTATTTATCTTTCTATACGATCTGAATGTATTATACACTTTTAAGCAGCAAATTGTTAGAAAATTTTCAGATTGTACGTAGC